TATCCACTCACCCCAACCGGTTGAGGCAGAAGGCCGCCCACCAAGAGTCGGGGTCTGTCGGAGGTTTCTTCTATTAAAAGGAGTTTTTCCGCCCTGCTGTCGCCAAGTACTGCTCAAGGTGGATTTGTTGGGTTTTCCTCTATTATAATAATAATAATTAAAATAATAATATGGTGTAGCCCTTAAGTTGTAAAGTGTAGTGTTTGATTAGACGCCATCAGAGTAAGCATATAGTGCCACGTGACCTGCTACAACTACTTTGTTTGCTTCCACATAACATGTGATACACTGCACTTTTCAGTGGACCAATTATATTCAATGAATGGTTCCTCTTATAAGAAGCCCGGACAGCAGTGATGTGGTTTGCTGGGATTTCCCCAGTGTCAAAATAAAGTTCAGATTAAATATCAATGAGGAGGTGTCTAAACATGTGTTTTTCCACTTCCTGTTTTGAAAGGGCACAAAGCATTAGAGGTAAGGTTTTGGTGCTGAAACTCACTGCTCATTGACAAATGATGAGATTCATTTACATTTGTGTTGTTCAAATGTACAGAAACAATCTGATTTTCATAAATGACAAAGATCAAAATCTGGACATAATGGCAAAATAACACTGGAAGATCACAATTACACATTACATATAAAGAATAAAAAAGTGAGAACTATTAGGACTGACTCCTCAGCAGACTTTAGTTTATGTTTATGCTTGTAAAGTCTGTGACTGCTCAGATTGTTTTGAATAACAAAAAACAAAGGCATAGTATACAGTAGAGACTGAACAACACTTCATGTTAAAATGAATTTGTCTGTCTGTGTTAAATAAAACATGAGTCTACCTTGATTACCTGTATCTGGAGTCTCCACACCCTGTGTTACCTCATCTTTGCCCTTACAGGTTAATCCAGCCGTGCATCTGAGCCATGGTGGTTTTAGTGGCGCATGGTCACTGGTCATCGGGCACTGATGACCAGCGACACTGATCAGCCTACCCCGTCTGCTGAGGCACAGCCACCCTGTTTGACATGACGGTGCTACTGACTGTCCTGTGGAACAGTGTCTGCATGTCTTTCACCTCCTGAAGCCTTTTCCACAAATTGATCCTTGTCCTCAGTTGAAGTTTTAATGGCAGGGGTATCATCAAATAGAAGTCTGTGTGACCTGACTTTTCTTGTTTGGGTTTCTTCAGGGTTATAGATTTATTGCTCATTGGAGGGATGATCCTTTGGTTTTCCACTGATGAACCTGCAGGTGTTTGTGCAGATAAAGCTGATGGTGACAGTCCTCCTACTCATGCTTCTCATCATCCTTTAATGTGCTTCACCTCTGAATATTTTCACATTCACAAACTAAAATAGAAGCAGGGCCAATTGAGGACAGGTGGAAATGTGGTTGCAGTCCTGCAAACTGCCAGGGAGAGGTTCCGCCTACTGCAACAGGATGTTTAAACACACACGTGATTCAGTTTGGATGGTTTTGGACCCAAAGTATAGACCAACATCAAGTCCTTTTTTTTAAGCGGTTTTAGTGGTGCATCCAAAAACGTTTCTTTTTTTGTTGTCTTTTTTCTGTCTGTGAGGATGTTCTTCAAGCTGCACTGTGGTGGAGACACAGGAGACACACTCAGACATATTTTATGGGAAACAAAACAACACACTAGTTACGTGAATCCATATAAACTGGGTTCTTAGTAAAGCTGTATAAATGCTGTTGTGGAATATTTCTTAAGCAATGTGTAAGCATATTCCACTACTTACATAGCTTATGAAGAATATTACAAGTGCTGCCATCAGCACTGCTGTAGCCAAAATAACCAAGTAAGTGCCTGTGATCAGCTCTTCTATGGTGCTGTCTTCACAGTCTGGAACGGGAAACAGAAATTACTCAAGTTTCAACCTGCATAAACAGCATCCAGCACTGAGCTGCACAGGATGTTCAGGCTGCTTCCACCAGCAGGAACCTCAGTCTGAATTAGGGCTTCTGCACATTTGACAGGCACTTAGTCCTGCTAACCAGAAAAAACCTTGAAAAGATACTGTATGACTGAAGTCTTGAGAGCACCCAGAATACGCTGAGCCCAGCAGCTCAAAACCAAACCAATCAGTAAACTAGATGATGACAATGATGAGGTGTGTTTTACATCATCCTGACTGCTCATCGCTTTCTCTTTACTCCCTAACCTCAAGACCAACTCCTTAAATTAGGTGACGCACAGATAATTTCACACATCATATTTATCAACCCACTGGTTTTGGCTGAATAGATAAGGTTACATTTCACAGTTGAACAGCTGTGGTGCTTTTGCCAGTTTCAAATGTTAAAGCTAAGACAGTAAAATCGGATTAGTGTGCTCTTTGCTTCTTGTTTAAAGGGCAAAAACCAAAACAAAAGGAAAATGTGTATATCCCAAAATGTCAAGCTACTGCTTTAGTTCCACCTCTTCCAATGTGTATAACAGTTGGCTTATGTCTGGAAGTCCAATGATTCAAATTTACATCACTGGTGTCTGGGGAGTCTTTTGCTTTTCCATTCAGAGAAATGGGAAACTTTGGAAAATCTGTCTGTGACATGCGAGAGATGAAAAACACTCGAGTCCAGCGTCAACTTTACCTGTTAGAGTGAGGAGAACTTGCCCCTCTCTGTTCTGCTCCCCCACAGGTGCGGCCAGGTGACACATGTACACGCCAGCATCACTACAGGTCACGTTGGGCAGGAAGATGCTGCGGGACTCGTGCAACAGCTCCACCATCCGCTCCACGCCGTTGTACCATCTGGTTGTGCCATTGGGGAGGTCTTTGGTCAAAAGTCCGCTGAGACGAGACGGAGCCTCCCCGACCTGCAACACCATTATCAATGTCAGATTTACGTCCAACCACTGATCCACATGCCTCACATCAGAAACACTTCAATAATATCAGCACTATTTCTCCCACTATACTGTTTCTGTGATGCTGAAACCACAAATCAATTACGCGGTTCTGAAACGATCACTTGACTCATGATTCACTCATGATTCACTATTGTCTGCCATTTTACAGACTGAACAGTTTTTCCAGTTAATCTACAAAATAATGAAAACATGAAGCAAAAGTGAGAACAACTGACAATTGTAGAAATAAAGTGATTTATTAAAGCAAAACTGACAAACAGCCTCTGTTCCCAGACTCTCAGATTAAAGACTTGCTGCTTGTCTCTAGTTATGGGGCCCCGAATGTAAAAATAGCACTTACACTAGTTTTCTCACATTTAGCTGAATGTGACAAAGGCTAAATGTTAAATATTTAACGTACCTTTGTTGCTTATACTTAACATTTAAGTGTGTTTCGGTGCACGTCTTTCCCTTGTAACCGTTTTTACAATAAGGTATTATTGTATTCTTAGACATCCATGTATTATTTATACCACTAATCCTGAAGAGGGTCCAGCTGCCACTGGACCCTGGACGGGGCGCCAGTCTGTCACTGGGCTTGTTCTTGGACAAAAGATTTGGATACTTATTTCATTACACTAACTAGACTGCATTAACTACTGAACAGCGCCAAGTGATGCAAAGAGTAAATCCACCATGTTCCTATTTCCTATACAAATTGTTACAGCGATGGAAACGGACTGCGCAGCAGCCAATGAGGAGCGAACGTGTGGAGCAGTTCCTTTTTCCTGAAACTACTGACAAAGTTAGATTGTGTATTTTATCTTAGTCAGTTGTTGTTTGGCTCCCTGCTACTCTCAGTGACATACTGTAGGTTACTGTCCTGATATGAACTACAGCCCTCAGGAAAACCCCGGAAAACAGGCGCAGTTTACCTTGTACCACCTCAGGGCTCTGTAGTCGACACCAGGCTTGTCTCTGGCGGTGCAGTCCAGAGTACAGTCCGCTCCGGACACGAACCTCACCTCCAGCATGTCCTGGTTGACAGCCATGCACACAGCTCGGCTCACACCTGAGCAACACAGGATCCAGAATTAGGCTTCACCAGCACAGTGATCATATCAGCCAGCAAAACATCATGGAGCTCACAGTAACTATCATGTCTTCTAGATTTAATGTGGTTATTTATGCCTACAAATGGTTCCATATACTTACACAGGGACCAGAGCAGAGCCAGGTTCAGAAGAGACATGATCTTATGATGATATAGCGATGGAGAAACTCGGAGATGGACGTGCCAGTCAAAATCTTATATCCTTTATATATATATAGCTAGCAGCGGAAACAAAAGTGAAACCCCCGCCCTAACGGAAATCTAGTAATAGAGGCGGTTACTAATCTGATTTACACTGTAATCAATGCGGGGAGCAGGTGGTCGGCGTATCGCAAAGAGAACAATGATGAGTGCACATCTGTACACCTTATTTATTGTTTTGGGTGAGTAGGTTATTCATCTGGACTTTAATGTTGTGATTACGGCACTTTCGTATTGTCTTTGTCAACCTATCAACACGTGCCGCTTCACCTGAAACTACATAGAAACTTCCAGAAATCCAGTGTCCGGGTTTGGCGTGAGCCGCAATAACAATCGGGTCCTATAGATTAAAAAAAATATATGTTTATGTATTGCTTTACTGCTAAAGACGTCGACAGCATAAAATTGACAGATATTTCAATGAAGTTTGGCATTTCTTTGTGGAAGAACGTGGCTTAACGTAAGATGTCGCGTAACCAGCCACAGATTCTACACCTGCTATTTAACTGTTACTAACAACGTATTCCGTAACTAGTAGCTAACAGTTTACGTATTTGGGGAGCTTTAAACTAATGCTAACATGTTACTCGTCTGCTGTTCGGACATAATAATTTATCTAGAGTTGGCCATCAACCTTCTGACTGTTGAAAGTGAGAGCGGTCTCTGGGATTCCCCGTCCTTTCCCGGAAACAGCGCCAGATTACGTTAGGGAATTCCCAAAGTGGGCCACGTGTAGACATGTTATATTGAGTTATACTCAATAAACAGTGGCTCAGGAGACAAATAAGGAACCAGGTCAGTCAACAGAAACCCCAGAAAAGTACAAAACAAGATAACACGTTTCTCTTTTTGTCAAATCAAATCAAATCAAATTTTATTTGTATAGCGCCAAATCACAACAAAAGTCATCTCAGGACACTTTACAAAGTAAGGTCTAGACCTTACTGTTATCAAACCTGCAGAAAGGTACAGGGAGAGAGAGAGGACACACTACGGGAGAGAGGAGACACAAAGTTAGTAATGTGTAATGGTGGCATATAGAAGCATAGGGAGAGAGAGGAGAGGAGAGGAGAGGGGAAAGAAACTCAGAGCATCATGGACCCCCCAGCAGCCTAGGCCTATAGCAGCATAACTAAGGGAAGGCTCAGGGTCACCTGATCCAGCCCTAACTATAAGCTTTATCAAAAAGGAACGTCTTAAGTCTAGTCTTAAAGGTAGAGAGGGTGTCCGTCTCCCGAACTGAGACTGGGAGTTGGTTCCATAGGAGAGGAGCTTGATAGCTAAAGGCTCTGCCTCCCATTCTGCTTCTGTGAACCACAAGTAAACCTGCACTCTGAGAGCGAAGTGCTCTGTTAGGATGATAAGGCTCTACGAGGTCTTTAAGATACGATGGAGCCTTGTCATTAAGGGCTTTCTTGTGTACATTCTATTTTAATTTAGAGATCTAAAGTTAAAAAAGAGAAAATGACAGGAGTAAAGTAGGCAACCAATGCCCACATGTTGATTTTTATCAGTTATTGTGAAAAGGAAACAGCAATTCAGTCTAAAGTGGACATCCAGACAGAAACTACAGGGGTTTAACATTTACCAACCTAATGCTGGTCTTTGTATTGATCAGGTGCTGTGGGGCTTGTGAGCGGAGAGGTGAAGGAGAGCAGGTCTTCTTATTCCTGTTGTGGAAGCCCTTCAGTCGAATTCTACAAACACTGTGAAAACTCCTGGAGTATCAACGACATGGTAGAAGCCAACCCTGTATGCACAAACACCATGCAGAATGTTCATACAAGAGCTCTGGGCCAAAAAACAAACCAAAACGGCTACATAAACATTGTCAATAAAACTGCCCACTGCCATTTTATTACATTTCATATAAGCTATATATAAGTTATAGTTAAAATAGGCAATAGTAAAATTGCAGTTTTAATTTCAATAACACGTTTTCTGTCATTATAACTATGGCACGGCTGTGCTTACATGGTAATGCAGCCACAATTAGCTTGTCAAAATGTGAGTTGAAAATGAGTCTGTCTGGATTCTGAGTTTAGGACAAGGTATTTTTTGTGCACCTGCAAATTCATTTACTGTTGATAGAGTGATTTTCGTTGGTGGTGTTTTGCTCTTGCAGACCATCGCCTACTCCAGGGGTGAATCCAGACGGTGCAAATCTCCATGCAAAAAGATTGAAGATGGACTGATGATGCTGGATGCGTGTGTGGACGTGAACATGACCGCAGTGTGCACCATTGTAGGTCTCCCACTTTTTGATATTTAAATTAACTTCAGCCATTTGCAAGGGATTACAGTACATTCCAGGGCAAGGTGGGGAGAACCTGCAGGATGTGGTTTGTAAGGAACCTGTCTGAGAATCGTCACAGTCAGTCAGCATAATTTTGTCATTTGCCAAAATGTAAACAAATATTTCTTTCTGTTTCAATCCCCTCCTCGCCCTGTAAGATCTGTATCTGAATAGGGCTTGAATGTGTGAGCTCCTCATGTTTGGCAACGCCTCTCAAACATGGACAATAAAGGAGAAAAAGAAGCTGCAAAAACTCTGGTTCAGGTCTGATTTCTCATTCATCATTTCACAGGAGATGGATGTGATTGAAGAGAAAATGATCCACTACCACGGTCAGCTCTGCCCTCGTACTGTATCGCACAACATGGCTCCTGGAAGTCAGGGTGGGTCTTTCTCTCTGTGTCAACAGGCTGACTGGGTATTTAAATATCATTTTGATCAGAAGCATTAGACTCGTGAAGCTCCTACAATGTTCTTGAAACTCAGCTCTGCACTGTGCTAAGCCTGAAAACATATAAATGATTTGGGAGGAAATGAGAGGCCACTGGGGTCAGGACTGGGGTCAAAGAATGTACTTTTTCATAGTAAAATATTAACTTTAGCTGCAACTAAGCATTCAGCTTCAAGACATTTTTAGTGAAGAATAATGGTTAAAACATTAGCATTTAAGACCGATCCGCTGTAATCTGCACGCTCCAGGCAGGACATGCTGTTTGTTGGCTAAAACACAGCAGATGTGAACAGTGAACATCAGCTTATCCTTGCATAGAGCTTTAAGGTTTAGCAGATCTGAGAAGCACACCAGGTT